CCCTCCCCCCGTAGATGTGTGGAATTTTTGGTGCAGATTATTTCATTGTCAGCCAGTCATCCATGGCGCTGCAATGACGTCATTCAAATCCTCCCATTTCATTGTCTGTGCAACGATGAAATATCTTTGCGCGGTTCGTTCACATCTGGCGTTGGTGAGCACGATGTCCAGATATAACGGCGTCGATCGCTCCTAATAAATATTATGCCAGATACGATGGCGTCAAGGGCCCTCTCCCTAAAAATCCACATATTCTGGTCATTTCGGTTGCGTTTATGACCTTCTTGGCCGTTTATGTAAGGCTTTGTATGGTGCGTTGATCGTTTTCGTAGTATCGATACAGGAAGTTAACAAAGTTTTAACGTTTCGATCAGTCCGGTTAGCATTCCCAAGATAGTTCTTACGTTCAAATTATGTAGTCACAAGCACAGTACACGCACAACAGTTTGGTTCCATCGAATCCCTTCATAAATGACTTTGGGAACGGCGTCACTACAGCGAAAGTTTGTGATTGGCACAGCGGCCTGCATGGGCCGGCTTCCGAGAAGCACAATGGCTGAAGCCTGAACCAGTGCGTCATTCTCACTATAAACCAGATACTACTTCGTTCAACAAAGCTCAAGTATGCTTCGAAGAGAGCCACTAGAGTGCACGCCATGGGGGAAATTAAAGCCATAGCATATCGATAAGACAGTAGTAAGAGCCTTATTCCTCGGCGAAAAACCAGCTGAATGGAGATAGACATGGGTTGATATTTCGGCAACATGCCTTTATCAAAACAATAGCAGAAGCAAATTGAAAGTTGCTTACCGATGATCTTACTAAATTTTTCAGTTTTTTTGGAAACAGCAAGTCACAGTTTTTACAGGACACCACCATTCAGGGTATCAGCAAAGGGCGATTGTTAGCCATTACCACGGCACAGTGCGTACTTAAGAATCAGAATGCACGAAACACGTATGCATGCAAACGAATTCAAGAAAACAGGCACCACACATCACGCTTCATTGAATCATGCAAGCGAGTTGAAGTAAACACGCATCACGCATCGCGCATCAGTTGTACATGCAAGCGATTTAAATTAACAGGCATCGCACATGACGCATCAGGCATCATTTACACCTGTCAACGATTTTAAGCTAACACACATCACACATCATGTCACTTATCACGGTCGCATAATCGGTCATGATGAGCCTGTACGTTAAGGTTTGGCCATCGACTTTTCAGAAGGTCAGATTCACATATTTTCCTGTCTGGGTGGTCCTGTGCTCTGTAGGTGACTTTGAGCTCTAAAAGGGGCATAGGGGTACATGCCTCTCTCGATTTCAGCCTGAAAGGTGTTTGCCAAAAAATAGCAACAAAAAGGGGCTATTCCTGTTAGGTTTTTAGCGTCTCACAGGTGTTCAGTATATGTGAAACGAATGTGGCGAATTTTTTTTATTATTTTATTTTTATAAATTTGATCCTAACCCTTTGAATGGATGGATTTCTGGGATCAGAGCTCACGCTAAGCAGTGCTTGTTGTGTAAGCTCTGAGCCCCACCATCCGATCACGCAATCCCAGGAACGGCAGAATTTAGTGGCGAAAGCTTAACGTGCCGCAATGCTCGGCGCGGTCCGTCCTGCCCTCTGACGTCAACTGACCTTTAGCGCGACCGCTGCCACCGGCCGCAGGCCATACCTGTCAAGTGCAAATAGCGAGCGCCCTAAAGCGACTCGAACCCACCCAGCCACGGGTGGGTGGATCGGAAGGCAGGCGCTCTAACCAACTGAGCCACCGGGACGGACATATGGACTCAACGACATTGACTATGTCCCTCTCATTTCCAAATTTGTATACATGACATCAATTGCTATCCGGGCACTTAGAGGCCTCGAGATGGAAGATTTCACCAGACATTTTTTTTTTAGCTTATTGTCGTTCTTCCAAGCTATGCGTACGCGCAGTTTTGATTTTTTAACGATGAGTTTTATTTTACAAAGCAAATTGCAAACAAAAGGAGTTACAAAGCAAATAAACTATGTCAGGTAGCGTTAAGAATCCGTCGTCCGATACGACGTATTCCCGCCTCCTATTACCCATCCCATCACGCGGTCTTGACATTTTAAATTTCTCCAAGATTCTACCTAAACGTCGCGGATTCTATCATCACATGTCTGCAGCGCCCATTAGACCAGTGATAGCTGCGTGCAGTGGTCATTCAGAAAAAACTGCGTGTCTTTCAGAGAAAATACTTAACAAACTCTTGAGGCTTTTATACCACGCATCTGTGAGAGAAGGCAGTATTTCCTTCTCTGTAGATGCTATCAATTTAGATGGAAATATGCCTTTCACTCAAGGCCATTCATTCATTCATTCAAGGCCATTCATCATATGCCATTCATTCAAGGCCATTCACACAGTAAAATAAGTGAACCTTCTTTTAGAGGAAGTCAGCGACCAGACATTAACGTAGTGTTGATCATCGGCGATCATGCGAAGGTGGTGAGTGCCTTGACATGTGATACCTGTTAACATAATCTTTCCATGTATGAGTGGTATCTGACACGTGATGTGTGATGCCTGTTTAATTGAAATCGTTTGCTTTTATAAGTGATGTGTGATGCCCGCTTACTCGAAATTGTTTACTTGAAACTGCTTGCGTGCTTGAATGTGTTATACGTCATGCCTGTTAACTTGAATTTGTTTGCGTGTGCACGTTTTTTGCGCATTTTAATTCTTAGTTAGAGGTGCGCCGTATCAGAGAAATAGCTAGCAACTGTCCATTGTTTGATCCCCTGAATGTCGGTGACGTGTACAAACTGTAACTTGCTGTTCTGAAAAACCCTGAACAATCCAGCAGTGTTGGGAGGCAATTTTTAATTGCTACTGATATTCGTCTTTATAGAGGTATACAGCCGAAATACCACGTCTATTATTCAATTATGCTGTTTGTTCTATCAGAAATAAGGCTGTTAGTGATCTCTCATCAGTATATGGATTCATTTAATGCACAGGACAACGGTTTGGATTCCGCATACCTTTTAGACTAAACCGAATGTTTGCGTCTTTCATATAATTCATTACAAGCACCTTTTGACAAATTAGTGTGTCGTTAATATTACAGAGCACATACACGTTAAAAAAGCAGGGCAAATGAAATGTATTGCGCTCAAGGCGGTGAGCAAGGAGTCCTAGAAGACTTTTGCCGCAGAAGCGCCTACTTCAGATAAACATTCTGAGGTATTCAGAAAGATTTCAAGAAAACTGACATTGCTGATCAAATCGTACGCGACTGATCTAGCAATAAGCAAAAGGTACAAAGGGACAGTACGCTTCATTTAAAAGGTAATGCTATGCTACGATAGACTCTCCGCAGACACGACGCTTAACTACGTCACTGGTAACAGCTTCCGCCTTTGTCCACAAACGCGGCGTGCGAATACGTCAAAGGTAACAACGTCCACCTCCGTCCACGGACGTGCCGTGCGAGTGTATCACTTGTAGCAACATCCGCCTCTGTAGACAGACACGGCGTGCAATTACGTCACCGGTAGCAACTCCCGCCTCAGTCCACAGACACGGCGTGCAATTACGTCACTGGTAACAACATCCGCCTCTGTCCACAGACACGGCATGCAATTACATCACTGGTAACAACATCCGCCTCTGTCCACAGACACGGCGTGCAATTTCGTCACTGGTAACAACATTCACCCCTTTCCGCAGAAGTGGGCGCTGCCGATGATAACCGCTGGTTGACAGTGACAGTACACCTTGGTATGTGAAAAGATGCCAAAGCGAGGGTCGCCATGGCAAAAAGAATTAATTCCACTGATTCTTAGAAGAGCTGTGATCTCTTCATACCTTGACATCCCCCACACACCGGGAGGAATCATAGCTGGTGTGTGAAAGGTCACAAATTGTCATGTCCTGCTCTGGCGCTATATTTTTAACCATGACATCGTTGTTCCCGCAGGCACAGGGTACGGGCACGAGGTGTGCGACATAGACTGTTCGCACCTGAACTTGGTGGCGTGGCGGCGGTTGGAGCCGCCCTCATCGCCCCTCGTCAGCCACATGATATATCAGGCTGCCGCGGCGAGTACCCTCTGTACGGTCACTGCAGGGTATGTGCCGCGGGGACAGGTGGACAGGAGAGAGAACAGAGAGAGAGAGACGATGAGGGACGCTAGAGAGAGAGAGAGATTGACGAGGAAGAAGAGAGAGGAGAAGAGGAGAGAGAGAGAGAGTGGGAGAGAGAGGAGAGAGAGAGAGAGAGAGAGGGAGAGATGAGGAGTAGAGGAGAGAGAGGAGAGAGGGGGGGGGGGAGAGGGAGGGAGAGAGAGAGGAGAGCAGTCAAATACATGGTGGCGGATGGTCATTTAATGATTACTTATGGAGTGCAGGAGAGTGGAGAACAAGGAGTGACGGATTGACGCTCGCTGAATATGAGGACTGGGTGGTGTGGGGATAATCAAAAGGCACACTTAGGTTAATGATTGACGCGTTCCCCAGGGCCGTAGGTCTTGCACTACTGATGGCATGGCCGTGCAGGCATGGGTGCCATGTTTACGGAAATGTCGGTAGGCATACATTAAAAAACGGGTACATAGGCTGTATACGACTTATGGTACAATCGTTTGCTGCATTGGTTTTTTTGTTGTCATCACGATCTTCAGTCATACCGTTTTGCGATTGTCAACGCATAGGATAAGATCAAGCTTGAATGTAACCGTTACTCTGTCACAAGGTATAACGAGGTGGTAACCTAGAGGAAACATCTCACATTGTTCTGGTGTTTAAAACACCGTACTAGCACTTTCGATATACTAGGTGCAAATGGTTTTACGCATCTATAGACTGGCCATCATGTCTACGCAGCAGACGGTGACCCGCCACCTCAGTCGTAAAGCGGCGACGTGGCGCCTTCGGACCGTGACCGAAACACAACCACCCTCCGAAAGTTAGGCAACCTAGATGACCACACATGTGACGGATATGCCCGTGTTTGCAGACAACAACCCGTTCGACAGGATGCTGGACGTGAGCTCAGTGGCCCAGGTCTGTACTGCTTTACAGCAGCAGTACGAGAGCGAGTCGAACGCCATCGGGTCCCGTTCCTTCGAAAAGCCGTGCGGCTGCATAGAGGGTAGGTGAGGACCTGGTGACCTCTGCCGGTATTGGTTTCTGTGACCCATGGCGTTTGCCTGCCTCCCTGTTACCCTCCTCCTCAGTTTGTGTCGGCCATGAGCTCATAACACATGGTTGGCCATACGCCATAACCTCCGTCAGTATTGGCATTGCTCGTGACCTAAGATGTTATCAGCCTTAACGCCATCAATCATGCAGGATGTGATTAGCCCCCTTGATCAACCCAATCATCCTGACCTACTACGCCGGGCCTGGAAGTGGTTCATGACCACAGACCGTGTCACCAGTGATTATGTGACCTCTGCCAGTGCCGGGCGTGGCTCCTCTCAGTAACACACATCCTGGTGTCACAGTGACTTCTGGTGTTTTCGCCAGGTACGGTGGGCGCGTTGGCCGGGTTCGCCGCCCTCGGTGGCCTGCTGGCGTTTGCTCTGTCGCAGTCCGCCGCAGCGCTGGCCGCCGCCTCGACAACCGCAGCCACCACCACCGCAGCCACCACCGAAACCACCACCGTCGCCACCACCACCGAAGCAATCACCACCACCACCGTGGCTCCGGCAGGGCGCTCTTTGGACGGTGAGCAGGGCGGGAGCGGGCCCTAAGCAGCGAGGCCCGGTGAGCGGGCCTAGTGAGCGGTCCTGGTGGAGCAGGTCTTCTCCAGCAGGCCTAGTACAGCAGGTCTCATCCAGTGGGCCTGTTACATCAGGCCTCCTCCAGACGTCTGGTGTAGCGGGACTCCTCCAGCAAACCTGAGCTGAGCGGCATGGTTCTCCACCATGCCGCTCAGCTCAGCATGCCTCTCCTTACCGCCCTGGACTGTCGCTGGGTCTGGGGCGCCGACGGGTTGACTGTCGTGACGTCTAGGGCGTGACGGGTGGACCGTCGCAAGGTCTGAAGCGCTTTCGGTTAAACTGTCGCTAGGGTCTGGAGCGCTGACAGGTGGACCGTCGATTTTAGCAGCTGTAGTCACAAAATCGCAAAGTAGAAATTGCTAAGGGACGAGCGTAACGTAAGGTGCTCGAACCATGGCCTGCGGCCATCAAGTATTATTCATGCTGACTTTGACCCGCGCACGCTTTTCTGTTTTATTACCGACTTTGTCCTAATCTCCTCAGATTCTGACCCGGAGCTAGAGCAGTACTTTACGGCGGGACGTAACCAACAGCATTGGTGAGTGACTTTAGAGCGGGAGATTGTCACCTGTTGTTGGCCAGCTGGCAGCTGAACAAAAGGGGGGAGATTACCACTTGTCGTCAACTGTTAGCTGAACAACCATACACCTGAATACAGTGAACTACCATAGTAGTGGGCAGACCCCCATACAAGAGTTCTCGGCGCTATGCGTTTCGTTTCACCAAAACCAATCAAAAAGGCTCGTGAAAAAGTTCTACCAACAATCGCCGTCTCGGGATATGAGCATATCTCCCTCATCGCCGACCACCTGGCACTTGCCGCTGCTCCGCCGACAGAGATGCTGAGGTCTGGGTCCGTGCTGCTGCCACTGCTGTCGAGCACGGCTGACCTGCTCTGGGCCGGTGAGGAATCCTCCTGCCAGCAGTACCGGCTCTGCCAGCTCGGCCAGCTTGCACGTCGCTCCGGTCCACCTTACAGCGTGGCCGTACCCCTAGCCAGGTATGTTGGGGGAGGGCAGTTGGCAAATGAATGGGTATGTTCAACATTCCGGGCGGAAGAATGAATGACTGTAGACGGAGAGGGCATAACACTGTTGCGTGCAATAGAACTTGCGTATACAGGGAACACCGACGCCTACGTGTTAATCCAACGTGTTCCCTAAATTGAAATTGATCACACCTCATGGTGGACTCAGTCCTTCCTACAGCAGCAAAAGATATAATATAGTCGTTCGAAAGATCCATTATGTCAACCAATCGAATTCAACGCGGGAGCTGCGAACCACTTGGGCTACAGAACGTAACAGAATCGTCAAGGTGCATTTTTCAGTGATCCGTGCGTGTTTGCAGTTTTCTGCTTCTTTCTGTCCCCAGCCTGCCACTGTCCTCAGAATGTGCAGCGGTGTGCTGACCTCTGTTGACCCTCTTATGACCTTTGGTGCGCAGTGTGACCTGAGTTGACTGTCCTGTGCTCCATCGTGACGCCGTCTAGACCAGCATGGTGTGGCGATGTGCGCACCTGGTGATATCTGCGACATCTGGTGACATCTGGTGACATCTGGTGACTGCGCGACAATCTGTGACCGGGTCCCTCGCTGTTGCAGTCTGCCGCTATCCTGGATCAAGAGCAAGTTCCAGGGCTCCAGGATCACCGACCTGTGCTGGACGATGGCCTCCATGGGCCGGACTACTGACTGCTCGACCATGTACAAGAGCTGCTGAGCTGACACGAACGCGGCCGCTCACATCCTACGACTCCATGTGCGCGCAATGATAAGGGCTGTCATTAAAGCGGCGCAAAACAATCACACAGCGACTTGCAGGGAGCCTGGTTACGTTCTCAGCTACGGAAAGGTTTGTACGCTTGGACGAGGACACCAGGCGAGGGATGATGGATAACTTGAGACGAAACGACTGCCGCAACATTGCTGGATGTCGGAGCACACTTTCGCGTGGTGCTAAAGCACCTCACGATAAGTTTAGGTGGTTGGCTCTCAAGCCCAGTCGTGGTCATTCCAGTGACCAAATATTCATTTCAGCCGGGGTCTCACCAAAAGTCCTACTTTTTTTACTACTCGAAGTCATCGAAAGTAGAAGAAGTGGTGTCGTTAAAGCATGTCTCTATTCATTTCGCGATAGAAGTCTCGTAGAGCTGTCTCTCCCTTGTCATATTTTTACGCACTCTTGGTTGCTCAGGTGCTGGATTGTTGTCACTTGTTATTGTTATTCTGTGAAAATGGTTCACTTAATGATTACTGTGTGATGCAAGAATCGCATGCCATGCTAAGTGTTGCTATATGATCCTTTTCGGTGCATTTCTTTAGATGCATATATATATATATATATATATATATATATACTATATATATATAGATATATATATATATATTATAGTAACTGTACACGTGTGGTTTATATACATACATGTATATATATATATATATATACATATATATATATATGCATAATATATATATAATATATATATATATATATATATATAGTTTGTTGCTATTGTTATTTTCTGCAACACGCATATATATAACTTGAGCTTGTACTTTACCCCAACTCCAAAACTGATGTGATGCGCAAATGGTAAAATATACGAACACGCACGTACCGTCCCTATGTAGTATTACCAGAAGCGAAATGTGCCAACGATGATGACTAGCGTTCCAAGAGTCACAATGTGCGACCCGAGCGCGCATGCGCCACCAACGGTCGCCATCCGCCAGTTCGTTCCACCCCGACATACGAGAGTCCATCTGACGGGTACATCTGGCGGTACATCTGTTTGGAGCCGGTCTCATACAGCTGACAAGGCCTCTGGCCGTCTGATGAAGAAAACTGGCCTGAAAATGACCAAAGAACATCACGCACACTGTAAGGTGCTTTGCAGTCCATCAGGAGCGCGGTGCACGCGGAAGGCTTTCATGGAGCCACTGTTGGGTGAATGGGACCGTACAAGTACACCGTCATCGTTAACCCACCCCCAACGCACGGTGCGGAGCTGACATGACGTCAGATGATCGCATCTCTTACATCCGGCCACGCCGTCAAAGCCGCAAGTCAGTGTGCTGGATGTACGATGTCATGCACCAGCCAGCGTGTTGTCTGCAGCCCCGACAGAGCGGACGTCAGCCAGTCACGACAGAGCAGACGTCAGCCAGTCACGCCAAATGTTTTTGCCATGCTAAATCCTTTATATCTGAAGTCAGTGTGCTAACAGTAGCACACGTTTTAAAAGGATATCGCCTGGATTAGCATACAGAAGCAGCCTTTGGCAGCTTTTAAAAGAACACGATGACCCAGATACATCTTAACACATTTTTCACCAGCAATGGCAAAAATGGTTGTCGCATAATGACTGTGGTGTTTGTGCATCACGACCAGTGGCACAGAGTCGTAATCAGGTTATCCCCTTACGTCAAAGTTCTAAGATATTTGTCCGTGGAGTAGTACCTGATTAGAAGCCATTCACCAAAGTATAGCACACGTAAACTGAAATGGGAGCCACTCTCTCCTGGCACGAAAAATACCTGATAAGTGACGGAAAGACCGAAGAGGTTTGGAATTTGAATTTCACATTCTAGGGCGAAAACCCAAGTTGCCAACATCCGGGAGAATCAAGGTTCTGAGTGGTAGAAGAATCAACCTTGTCAGGTGAGCCGCCCTATAAACCAAGTTTAGAATTTGTAACACTTCCTCCTGCCTTACAGTATCAATGGAGTCTATGATTGGTTATCTGTGGTGCCAAGGGCATAAGGCTTCATGATGTCGAGATCCCCCCAGCCAGTTTTCTTATACCGATATCACTGCGCATTGTGAACAGCCGTTTTGCTGCTGCGGCAGTGCCATAGGTCTGAAAACTATATCAAATGCGAGGGAACGTTTAGATCCGGCCACATGAGCAAACCTCCACATCAGTTGTGCTCATTCTCGTATTGCCAAAGGTATAAGTGAAGGTATCAGGTAACAACGGCGTTTGGTATTGCACGCCCACAGAATTTCCAGCAGGGCGTATCGTTGAAATTATTGAACTGGGACGGAAATTGTTAACATGTCACATAGCGCTTGTCTGTTTTTCTGCTGGAAGCAATGGGATTCAACGGCGTATTACACCCGCAACCAACCAATTATCTACATTCAGGGTCATTGCCAGGATGTAAACGGCCAAAACATGTAAAGCTCCGTTTGTCGCAGTGCCTGCGGTACGCATCAGTGGTAGGGCATCGGTTGTATTTTGTTTAGCAGCTTCCAAAACGAACGCAACCATCATGTCGGTGGCGCACTGCTTATGTAGTTGGCGGATGATTGTCAGGCATTTGTGACAGCTGACCCAGTAATCTAGAAATACTTGCAGGCCATGGATTGAATCGTTGAACAAGTGCGCGAGTGGTTTGTTAACGAGATGGAGAGCCCATCGAAGGCAAAGGTAATAACTGGAACGGCTGGCCGTATCACAGGCCTTTTCTATCTAGGATCTCGTTGCTGATCGAGTTATCACCTCAAATAAGGAGGTGAGGAATCCGAGATCAATCTGTAATGAAGTCCTGTTTTAGGAACATCATATGCGTGCCAACAAGCAGAAGTGCACAGGGACACTAACTGCGCTATTGCGTCACCGTCATGTGATATAAAAACCATCATGTACCAAAGAGTGCAATCAAGTGAGCGTTTTCATTCCACGGCTTGAATATCGCTCATCTTGTTTCACCACGTGCGCGATTATGGTAACCCTTTGCCTTTGAAAACAGACCTTTCCCGCCTGCGCAAGCCACATCATCATTTCCCCCGCGCCGAGAGGCCAGCACGCAGGAGTACCCCTGGCGCTCGCACATGGGTGCTGTGAAAACTTAAGGCTATGGCTTGCCCTCTTGTCATGTATACAGCTGTCGGCGTGTAGAAACCCCGAGGTTGCGTGCCCCCCCCCCCCCCTCATTACCAAATTTTAGGCATGCATCCATGTG